CCTCCTCCTCCTCCTCCTCCTCCTCCTCCTCCTCCTCCTCCTCCTCCTCCTCCTCCTCCTCCTCCTCCTCCTCCTCCTCCTTTTCTTCCTCGTCCTCCTCTTCGTCCTTGGTAAAATCGATGGATCCTGCCTGTTGCGTTGCGTTTCGGCGTTTCGTGAAAATGATCGGAGACAGAATCGAGAGCGGAGCCGATGGGCGCAGGGGGACGTCGACCACCATCCCCCGGTTGGCGACGATGGCCTCTATGGTCCTACCGCCGGTGACGTCCTTAATGCCTCGCGGGTATCGCATGGGGAAACGCGAGTTCTGCATCGGTCGCCTTTCCATTTGCATGACTTTTAACGATGCCTTGATGTCGAGATTGGAGTTTTAACTCGAGCCGACTTGAGCTCCGATACAATAAAATCGAAAGCACTTGTCGTATAGGAAAATCGATCGTTTAAATATTTACGTATTCCATGAGTAATTGAAAAATACGCGAAACTATAATTTTCGTAATTACAGTACTCGTCGAAATATAAAGTTAAATTGATTTCTTATTTTAAGTTTATTTTGTTCCGTGTGGATCTAATTATATGTATGCTTTTAAATTTCTTTCTTGTTCAAACTTATTTTTTCAAGCTTCTTTTTCGTCCTTCTTTATTCTGTTTACTCTTACGTATCTACACGAAGAAAATGGAGAGATTTTTCATTTTTTTTTTCCTAGTTTAGTTCCTAGTTTATTTTTCCTTTATCTTTCAGTTCACTCACGAAGCGGAGTTGATCCCAGTCTTGACACCGCCATATAAATTAAATGGAAAATAGAAATGACACTAGAAGTCGACTTGTACTACTGGATGAAAAGCACCATGTATTATTGTGCATTATAATACATATGAAGTATCTTTAGAACATCTAAAAAAATACTCTCTCATTTAAAAGCAAGATTTTTGCATTCTGAAAAGAAAACAAATATCATAATACAAAAGAAAATTATTAAAGCAAAATTTGTCTTCTTTTCATACAGAATAAATATATCTAATCTAAATTAATTTTGTCGATTAAATATATAAACGATTAAACGATAATTTGCATGATAAATCAATGTGGATAATCCAAACGCAGATTTCACCACTTATATTTTCGATTCTTTAAATTTTGTGAAAATATAAATCAACACTCCATTGTTATCGATGCAGTCGTCCGAATAAGACCTTGTTTCTGCCAATATTCATTTTGGTTCTTCAACTGTGGAATTCCATCGACAAAGCCTCCCAAATGGTCCTCAAGATCGACGACCGTCGGGAAGGCGATCGTGTAGGAAATAGAGAAACGAAGAATGACGAAGACATGCTGAGAGGCCATTGCTTTCTCATTCGAACGTTGAAGAAATTCATAAATTGTATAACACAGACAGTTCACGCTTACTCGTAATTTATTCCGAAAACGTAACTATATTATTTTCTTATTTTAAAAATAACGGATCTGTGATAAAAATATATACCTCTGGGAAAAGGCGAAACGTAAAATTTAAGAGATATTTTAAATTTTACGTTGAAATAAACATTCAGTGAAAAGGCTGATAGAAGACAGATGATGTAACGACGCGAGTTACAATTGCACGTGGAGCGGATCTCGATCGCACTAATAATGGGAAAGTCTCTATGCAATAATCTACCTAATCGATCGCGTTACTCGAATGGCGAGAAATACGACTCGGCGAAGCCGGGGAATCGGATTTCAGGGCCGTCTCCCACGGCACTTCCTCGACCTCCAGGCAGGCCTTCGCAAAAATCTGCTCTCCCAAGTCCATCCTGTTACCCCACCCGTTCGTTAACCCTCACTGGTCGCGGCTGACCTTTACCGGGTCCGCCTATAACGTCGAAGGTACAGATTGATTCACATCCGGACAGATGCAAAAGCAAAAAGACGCAGCAAGGTCGGGAGAACCGGGAGAAAGTCGACGTCGCGTGATGTAATTCGATCGATGATGATCGCTCCGGTATCTATGACGTGTGATCACGCTCGATGTGATCGGTGAGATCGGATTTCCACTTTTGACAGATCATTTAGTGCATTATTCGTGCAAGAATTTATATTACAATTAGTTCCTGAATGATGATTATTATATAATTCTCTTTCTCTCTCTCCCAACCTCTTTAATTTCTTAGTTATATTATTATCTCGTAATTACGATCTCGATATACTTATAATTTACATGCTTAATATGCATTCATTATATACGAAATGAAAGTGTGTAAAACCACTTGCTTGTTGACATTTTAATTATTAATTGTTGCATAATTCTTCAGAATTACAGCCTTTTATAAATATTGAGAAATTTCTTTAATTAAAGCATCTTCTTATGAAAAAGAGAAAAGATTCCGGACGAATATTGATGATTACTCAATATATAAAAACAAGCATTTCCTAAACGTGAAAGAAGTAACCGTTTTCTCTTAAAGACTAATATTATTCTTTTCTTGCGGCGACCCGAATATTTTATATATTAGATCTTCTTTATGAATGCACAGCGGTACTCTTCACACGCAGGCTAGATGCCAACATTTCATAAGGATTCTGTGAGAATTCCAGAGTGAGACTCTGCTCTCGATTGTTTCGTACATGCGTACCTAATGACGTAATGCTCGGCTACGTAGGAGTTCAACGGCTGTTTAGCTTAACGATTTATATTCTTACCGAGATAGCAGGAAGTGCAACCCGCCGCTTGTATCGTAACGGTACAAGGTATATATACAATATAGATATCTGCGTGGCATTTATTAGACAGAGATATCTGTCGATACTTCTGCACTGATAAACCTTACTGTGAAAATACATAAGAAAAGGTTTACAGCTATA